CTCGAACACATACTCAGAGATTATCATGGGGTTATCTCATAATTTTGTTGAGATTTTAAAGTAGGCTTGCTTTATGTTTTGCAATTAAGTGTCATATCGTTCTTAATTTTCATAAATTTTTATAAAATTCACTGTTAACTAAGGTTACATAAGCTTTTAAAATACACATACTAATAAATTGAGTTATTCGAAAATTCTTTACATCATCTAAGCATATTTAAAACTAATATGGTATAATAGGGTATACACATATCAGCTTGAAAAAGTTGACTTCCTTATTTAACTTACCATTTCTGAAAATTGTAACGTGAAAGTCAAGGTAAGGTAAGGAAAGGTAATAATATAATATTAAATATTAAAAACAAATGGTTAAAACAAGGCTTTGAATCGAATAAACCTTTTTCGAGTGTAAAACTGACAACAAACCAAAAAAAAGACCCATCACTCATGCTCTCTTTCAGGTCTGTCTCTCTCATCGTATTGAGTGGATCGACGGGGCTCTCGGCTGGTATATAAGGCGGGGTTCCCCAATGTTTTTGACATTCCAGTTGATCAGTGTCAGCCGATCGGTCGGTAAAAGAAAGCGCGTCGCGAGCCCAAAAAGAAAATCGAAAACGCATAAGACAGTGCCAGTGCATAGACTGTTTGAAAAAACAAAACCAATATGAAAGCTTTCATTATCGCCGGAGTGTGTGTGTTGAGCGTGCTGAGCCTGGGATCAGCTCAGTTCCAGAACGGACGCCTGGAGCCGCCAAATCCTCAGCTTTGTGCCCAGCGCATCATCCACGAGAGGACTCCCGATGGCAAGGGGTGAGTCGTCAGGATGTGGGCTCCAAAAAAGTCAGTTTCTCTATAGGGTTTGTTCTTTTTTTTTGCCCCACAGTTACTTCTTCTCGTGGCGCGATCCTCAGCTGAAGGGTGTGGAGGAGGACTGGCTGACGGCCAGGAACTATTGCCGCAGGCGCTGCATGGACTCCGTTTCTCTGGAGACCAGTCTCGAGAACGAGTGGATCAAGCAGTATGTTGTGCGCGAAAATGTAAGTACAAATTTCCATAAAAATTTGAATTTAAGAATTGAGTCAATTAAATGACTGTCCAAAAATGAACTATAAATTCCTTCTTTGGTATAAAAATAAACGCATACATTTTTGTCAACAAAATAGTACGCAAATCAAAAGACTTAAGCCACAAACTGAAATGTAGTTCAATCTGGAGAAAATAAAAACTTCATGACTCAGCTTTCACAATTGTTTATACCTTTTAGCTACAATCTTTTCAAAACAATGTCAAGTCAATAAATCGATTGACCCCACCCCAAAAGAGATCTTGTGTAAGCCCCAAATTAATGGGCCCCACCTTCGCTGCACCTGTTTGATAAGCACTTAAGCTGCGATAGATCAAACAAATGATCGATATAACACAGAAATATGCAACTCATTTACTATTTATAAATGGGTTTTTCGGCGAAAGGTATCACAAACACATAACCAAACACCTGTATCTATAGACGTAAATTAAACCCTAAACATGAAGTGGAAGACAGTCACAAAAGCTTGCCAATAATTTATTGTATCTGCATTTATCAGTTTTATCTTTTCCCTATTTTTTCACCTGTTTGGCTTGTCATTATGTCACCTTTTTAATTTGTTTGGCGAGTTAAATAACGTCCGTTTAACCGCGTGTGAACTGTTTAGCGCGTTTTATTTGGTAGCTTGGACAACGCTTAACAAAATACTGACCTTAATTTTGAGGATGCTGCGGCACTCACAAAATTAATGGCGAAATCTCTGACATTAACATCGCTCTACAAAGTTCAATGTGAAATTACACATAAAACTCGAATGAAAAGATAAAAAAACGAATCATAAATATACACAAAAAAAAACTTTCCAGTGGTTGCATCTGTAATTTCGCACACGAATGGAGTCGTCTGTTGTTACGCAACACTCTCGAGATGGACAAGTGTCAAGTTTAGAGTTGTGGTCAGGCAGGCCCATCTCATCTCATCTGCCATCTTCCGACTCATTGCTCACCTCTCGTATCGTCTCTGTTTTTGCGGCATGAGAAAGCAGTGGTGGCCAAATTGAAATCGAAAGTTCATGTGTGCGATGGGAAAGCCTGGCCGGAAAAGCTACTCATCGAAATTACTCAACAAATTAGCAAACCTCGAACACGCAAACAGATTAAATAGTAGTATATTTTGCGTCTAAGGCAAAAGGAAATTAAATGCAAACCAAAGACTTGTGGTATAAATTTAAAGATGGATGGAAACTCTTTTTTATGTATAGACGTTATTCATGATGATAACCTCTTTTTGATAAAGAAATTTTTTTCTCTTAATATTGTAATGAAGGCCCTCATAATGCATTGTTGTCTTTAGTTATGACCTATTTTCACATATCTTTCCTTACATTTTTTCCCCAATAAACTTCCTACTGCCTTATCAACGGGTTTAGTTCACTTTTACCTGGCTTTAACCAACAGGTGCACAAATACAACTCATTTGGGCTTCCGCCATGGGGCAAATGCATTCATTGTCCGAGTTTTTAACAATTACCGGGCCCCCACACCTCCCACAAATGAAACGATATAAAAACCGCCACCGACAAAACCGAAATCAATGTCCATAAATTTGTTTCAACTTTACGCTCATTGGAGTTTTCCAAAAGGGCAGACAGCCTAACCGAGCAGTCTGGGTCTTTGTGTGCCCCCTTTACAAAACAATTTTTATGGCCCATCAGGTGAAAGTGACTGATGAGCGCTTAGCTGCGGCTGCGCGGCCGTTGCTTTTGCTTCTGCTCACTTGAAATGTTGACAGTATCGGGTGCGCCAGCTCCAAAAGGGCGCGGACTTGGGCCGGGAATGGGAATCGGTTCGCTTTCAGCGATAATAATAGTTGTTTGGGCGTGACAGGCCCATAAGAGTTACTAGCTGGAATTTCTACCGCTTTTTTCGATGCCAACGCTGCATTTTCTTGCGTAGGCGCTACTGATTGGGGAAATATATGTCTTGTTAAGTATCTGAACAGGGCAATGAACTGTGGGAAAACTGATTTATTCACTTTTTAAACTTTTTTTTGTATAGACCGACATGTGAATGTTATAAAATTAGGCCGCTTTACTTTTCTTTTCAATCTGTCAATCTGTCATACAATAACTTACGGCTTTCAAGATTATGGTTCTTCAAAAGTGGTCAAACTATCAACTTGTCATTTTTAGAGAACTAGAGGTGGGCAAAAGTGGAATCCTCTTCGAGTCGTGGTCTTTTTGTGGTATTTGTCCGTTGGTAGTATTTTTCCGATAGCACTAGGATGTTACTTCGATTACTTTGGCACAGCGTCGAGTCTTCTGAGTTATCGGTTATACTTGATGGAAGGGGCCCTGCGTTTTGCCATTCGCATGTCAGTTATAATGTATCTAGTGCAGTAATTTTTTATTTACCTCTTTTTTTTTTAACAATATTTTGCTAATATCGCAAGCTATCCGATCACTTTACAGGTAAAATACATCTGGACCAGCGGCCGCATTTGCGACTTCAAGGGTTGCGATCGCCCCGACCTGCAGCCTACGAACGTAAACGGCTGGTTCTGGACCGCCACCCTCCAGAAGCTGGCACCCACAACTGAGCGTTCCCAGGGCGATTGGTCTCCCACCGGTGGAATCGGTCTCCCCCAGCCCGATGATCGTGAATACAAACAGAATGGCGCGAAGGAAAACTGCCTCGCCCTTTTGAACCAGTTCTACAACGATGGTGTTAACTGGCACGACGTTGCCTGCCATCACAAGAAGAGCTTCGTCTGCGAGGAGAACGATGCCCTTCTGAAATACGTGCGCTACACGAACCCAAATCTGCGCATCTAAATGGCTTGGGATGAGGATAAGAATAAGGACGAGGACGAGAGCGGTCGGAAGAACCAGCGACTCTCCAACTAAAACCAAAAATGATATTCTCTAAAACGGCAGCGGTGAACGATGATCGATGTCTACTATCTACTCTCCGATTGTCTTAAAAACAGTTTTCTGGCCAAATTGTTGCATGACATCTGATTCTTTTCCTGGTAACAACCTTCCAATTCCCTATGCTCTGTTCTGTCTCATCAACTAGTGTAATTTTTAATTTTGTATTAATTTATGATTTTCCTTAATTATAATAAAACATTCGAAACGATTTTTAAAAGTGGACTGAGTGTTAATTCGTTGGGGAAATAATGAAAATAATAATGAGAGGTTATCGGCTTGTTTACTTACTCTCCGCATATCAAAAAATATTCGATTCTCAAAAAAACAGTGTTCGGCAATGTCGCCACGATTAAAAAAGTTTTGTTGAAAAGGTTTTTAAAGGTTTATTCGATAAATTAAAAAAATTACTTTGTGGTTTCTTAAATATACATAAGTCATATTTGTTCAGTTCCTGAAGTTAATACTCTGAGAGAGAAAATATAAATTACACAATTAAAGAAAAGCGATTGTAGTGTTTAAGTGGACAAAGAATAACTACTTTATAAAGAAATGGGAATGTGACTCTATACTAATCGACATATTGAACAACAATTTTATTTTAAACTCTATTAATAAAGCTTAAATATATAACACTGGACATCTGTAGAAAATGTAAGCCAATCAGCGGGAATGGTCTTGGCCGTTTTAAATCCTTATGTTCAGGAATGACCGATATAAAATACAAGATGCAAAGTTAAGCCAAAAAAAGGTAAATATAAATTACACAATTAAAGAAAAGCGATTGTAGCGTTTAAATAGACAAAGAATAACTACTTTATAAGGAAATGGGACTCTATTCTAATCGACATATTTAACAACAATTTTATTTTAAACGCTATCTGTACAAAATGTAAGCCAATCCGCGGGAATGGTCTTGGCCGTGTTTAATACTTATGTTCAGGAATGACTGATATAAAATACAAGATGCAAAGTTAAGCCGAAAAAAGCTAAATGCTGCAAACTGTTGAGCTCGGAGCGTCCAATATTATAGGCAATTATGACTTAATTGGACACTGGACTAGGTATATATTCATACGATCAGCAAATTAACATAGAAAATTAGCACATGCAAATAATTTGGACGAGCGGCCACGAAAACAAAAGATTCAATAAACAAAAAAAAGATTTTTCTGGGAGAAATTAGAAGTTTTCAGCCAGTTTGACGAGATCCAGTAGGGAGTGATTCCCCTTCTCTTCCGACTCCCGGTCGAAACTATTTAATTCGCTGGAACCTAATGTTGCATCCTGCAGTACAATTTGGCCCCTGTACGCTCGGCATTTTTCCAGCACTTGCTCAAATTCCGCGTCAGCAAAATCTTGCGAGGAAACGCCCATTTGCCTGTACGCACTGTGATAAGCCTCCCACTGAGCCCGATGTGGATTGATGAATGTTTCCGTCCCGGTATCGTCTGCATTGATGGTGGCTACTGCTGCACCGGCTGCTTCTATCATGGCCAAAACCAGGCAGCCCACAAGAGCACTATTGGCCATGGCCCGAAGACCACTACGGGCTGCCAAAATTGCGCCGGTGGCTGCTCCACTGGCGATCGAATTCCAGGCATCCTCCCTTTGGCGATAGGAGACCAGGACGCAGTCCACCGTGCTGAAGGTGGCTCCCCAAATGGCAAAACTGCCGGCGATGGCTGGCGTCCGCATCTTCACCGAATCAAAGCCGCCGTAAAGGCCGCGTCGCACTCCTGACGGTGCGTTACGGAACCCTTTGAGGAACTCAAACAGCGACCCTCCGATGGTGCCCATCATAAAAGCGCACCCGCAATCTTCTACAATCCTAATGGGACACGGCTGGCGGTTGTACTCCATGACGAAAACCCTTGTCTACTTGCTATTGGCTTCTAATCGAAAACGTGTGTTTTTGGAATGTATTTTGGAGTATACATAATACCGTTTGACAAAATGATATATTCGGAATCTTACTAGCATGTATGATACCAAAAAAAAAAAGGATTTCAACAAATATATGTACTCATACATTTTAAAATTTATTTAACTCCATCTGCGGGACTTTTATTTAACTTACCCCGCCTCTATTTAGGACCGTCCGACCACCTCCGCTGCCAAAGATCAAAAGGCGAAATGAATGGAAGCTCCGTTTTGACGACTTATGCAGCACTGCCCGATCTATCGATATCTCCACATTATCGAGTATTTTGCAACACAGAATTTTCAATCTGTTGTCCGATAGTTTCCCTCGCTTAATAGACTGTTCAGACAGAGAGTGCTTCCGCAACAGCGAGGGAATCCACAACAGCAAGACATAATATGTGCATGCACGATGTTTTTGTGGTTCAGGGTTAAAAATTAAAAACAAACAAACAATATTATGAAGAACGATAATTTTTTGAAGGCACCGACAAAATATTTTTTTTTTTACCTAAAGCTCAGATATTTACTTCGAATCGTATTTAAACGCTTAGCTACCACCTCCAGTTTTCGGTACCATCAAAAGGAAGTACCGAATTTGTTACACATTTTAAGAGCCACTGCTCCAGTTTTATTTGCCCTTTTCCTGCCATTTACCGTCTCAGGAAACTTCAATTGGTTTATCCGGTTAATTAATATTTTGAAATCAATTGTTGTCGACACGAGCGCCAACAAGGATGTAACTCCAACACGGGCTGTGGTTGTTTGGGCCAAATGACTTTTCCCACAGCCTCTGGGGCTCCTTAGGCACCCCCACACTTTTTCCCACCATTATCCTGCGGCCCCGTCAATCGATTCAATATCCCATGGCCATTAGAAGGAGCCGGCTCGACTACAAAACTGAGCCCACATAAGCTGAAAGGAAATCGCCTTGTTGCCGCTGCCTTTGGCTTTGGATGTGGCTCAAACAACCTGAAAGGTCCAATCAACAGGTGTTCCACTCTGGGCGAGCTGGTGTTTAGTGTTTGTTTTTGTGTTTGTGTGCCTGTGCCTGTGGTTCAACAACCGGGTCGATTCGACGGCAAGAAGTCAGTTCAGGTCCTCGTTGGGTGTGTGTGTGTGTTTGTGTGTGGGCCAAGCCAAATGGCGAGAAATAAAACTGGAATAATTCAATAGGAGGCGAGGCTGGCTCACTCAACCCAGTCGACTGGCCAAAAAGGGGGCGGTTGGCTGGGGAAAAGGGCAGCTTCATTGCTTGCGTAATGAATGTCCTTAGCAGGCAGGGCACGTTCCATGTTTTTTCGTTTATGTTTGCTCGGCCAAGAAGCTCCTGGAATCCCCCATTCCTGGGCGCCAATTTGGAGCCAAGCGGAAAGACCAGAATGCTGGCCATTAAAGCTGCTACCCTCGCCACTCATTTCACTTAAGTTCATTTGGCAATTTAACACTTCCCGGGCACGCATCACAGCCCTGGCGTCTTAATTTGCGCCGTTTTTTCTGTGCTTATGCCCATAATAAATGCAAAAAACAAATAAATTTCCTGCAGAGAGGAAATGCCGAAAATATTTGCATGCAAATTCTTGACCTCGTCCACAAAAAAAGCAGCTACGTTGACCGCAATTTGAGTGAATTTAATTGAAACCCCTTGGCACGCTCATGCATATTTATTAAGTCTAGGGGGATGGTGAGCCCCTTTGAGGGGGGGATGGCCAAAAGGGGGCCTAAGCAACAGTTGCCGCACATTGCGCATACGCCGCGTGTGCCACGGAGTAAGTTTCTGGCGCAGCACAGGCAGCTCAAACTCAATTTCCACGGCACTGCCAGCCGATTATGCTAATGTCGAAGGAAGGGCAGCGACTGAGTAGGAAAATTCAGGTGGGTTAACAAAAGGTGAGCCCGTCCCGGCCCTTGCCCTTCGGTATTACCAATAAAAGACAGCAGGAATTTGCAGCTGTAAGAGAGGACAACTTGCCCTTCCCTCGTTTGCTTATCGCGCTGACTTTATGCTTCCGGTCTTATTCCTTTGCCTTTGGACAGGACATCGCTGCCTGTCTGCCGTATAACAAATAGCTAAATGTCCTGTTCGTCCCGGCTCGTCAACAAATTGTTGCTCCGCCGCTGCGTGAGTTTTCCCTCGTTTATCCTGCTCTCGCCCGACTCTCCTGCATTTTTGGGCATTGCGCATACGCCGTGTGTGCGTGAATTGGCCTGCAATGGCCCACTGTGCCTGGGGACTTGCCGCCTGTGTGAACTGTGCTACGTGACGTATAACAGCGGGCAGCAACAGCTGCTGGACGCACAGTTCGTCGACAGTCCTCGTCTTGGTTGGGTCCTTGGGTGGAAAACGCGGCAAAATCGCCAAAAGCAGCAGCAGGAGTGGCAGCAAAAGCAAAAGCAGTAGCAGCAGCAGCAGCAGCAGCACGACCGGAAAAGCAACAGAGCAGTGCGAGCCTCCTTTTAAAAGTTCGTGGCTTAATTCCCGGATACTCCCGGTGACCAATTCGCGAGTTTTCGATTCGAGTGCGGTCAAAGTCAAAGGCGGAATTTCGCGAGCCTCAGCACAGCTAGCCGGATTAATCCTAGCATTGGGATTTGCGCACCGCCCAGCGGCATAAAATGATAAGTAAGTGCACAGGGAGAAATGGCAGGGAAAAGTATTTGCCAAGTATTTTGCGACTTAAGATTGCATAAGACAAATTTAGCTATATAACATTTTTTTTAGGGCAATAATATACAAGTGTAAAATGAAGTCGGAATTTTTTATTTACTTAGTATGTCTTTATATATTTTAATTTGGAATCAAATTTTGACTATGCAATATTTTGAAGTACTTAACCAAATAAGTACTACATAAGCAAGGGAAGTATTTAAAACCATAACCAAAGAAATACCAAATAAAATCTGCATAATTAAGGGGAGTTTTATAAAGAGATTACATTTTTTTATTACATAAAAACCACGTAATGTAATTATTATTGAAGTATATCCCTAAATATTGATTATGCCTTGTTCTGGCCTCCTGAAAATCTTTACAGTGGCGTTTTGCCAGTTTGAACTCCCTTTTAAATGCAATTTTTCCTGAAACTACATGTTCCACTTTATGGCAGCGGAAATACAAAATGCGGAGACAAACAGCAAACCGATTTGAATCAAGTGTCAGGGTAATAAATGTGCTTTGCCATGGTGCTGCCTCATGCATTTTCCCCCCTTTCCGACCGGTGTCCTGGCGTGCCACTTCCCCGCTGGTCCACTCCACATGTTGCGGCTGTTGCACGAGCGTCTGTTTAACGCCACTTAATGTCCTTTCTATTTACTTTCCTACGCGGCACTGTGTGTTTGCGAGTGTTGATGACTGCACAAAGCACACAGACTGGGTGAAAAAATGTACACACACACACACGGCAACACTTCTGTGTACTTGCCACTCAACAGTTTCGTGCGAGGAAAGGAGAAAAACGCTTTTACTGCGGCGTGGAAAAACGAGAAAAGTTTCCTTTGGCTAGGAAAACTCTAAACAAAAGTTGAGTCGAGCAGCAGCAACAAACATCGCGAAACAACATTAATTTACGTGCTAAAAGCGGCCTTGAAAACTTGCCTCCGTGCGGTAATTGTGCTTGAAAATGAGGATCGCACCGGGGGAGTGGTGGAAATGGACCGGGAAACTGTCCGGGAATCGTCCTTGTCCCGGTGATTTCCCATTGAAAACAAAAATCAACGTAGTACGTACTACGTACTGCGGCGCTGCAAGCAGGCAAAAAGTAAATTGGAAAACTTCATTAAAATGAGTCGAAGCGAACGCCTCAGTTTTCGCTTTTTCAGCTCACTAATTAGCAGTGGAGCCCTCCCCGCTGTTAACCATCTTCATGTAGCGATAAAGATTTCACAATTACAACTTATTTCCTCATTATAAGGAGATTTACGAGATTTTCGTCTAAGCGAATGATGAGTAAATCAACTCGGAATGCGTCAGCTTAAACGAAATGTACTCGCAAAAAAAGGCTGTCTATCAATAAAGTAATGCAAATCTCTGCAGCCAGAGGGGCGGATTCCTGATAAAAAACTGGCTTGTTTATTATATTTTTATTTTCTGTTTCAAAAAAAAAAAATTAAGGCGGGTTTCGCTGGGTGTATTTCACATGAAACGTCAGGGGTTAACAATGTGCACTGGAAAAAGGATAAATAACAAATTTAAATTCATTTTATATTTATTTTCCAATTAATCATGCTTAAGAGATGAAGTTATAAGTAAAATGTTATTATATGAATTAAACCACAACATTTTATAAATTTACTAAAAATTTAAAGCACTTTGTTAAATCAGAATTTTACCACAAAGCCTTTGTTCCACAAAATAAAAGATCATCTTACCTGTACAATTTATTTTCTTTATTTGAATTTAAATTGACAATGTGGTAAACCTTTTTCAAAGTTTAATTTTATAATGTCAAGCCAAGTGCCTTATAATTGATTTAGGTAAATTAAATTCCAATCTGCTAGTAAAATTTCATTTATTGCGGTTAGGCCATCGGTAGTAGTCATCGAATAAAATCAGTTTTGGTTGCAATTTGAAGGCTTGGTTTTGTAGAAATAAATAAGAATGAAAAACTACTACATGTGGTTGCTTTCAGTGGTTTGTCAATCAGTAGCAGGGTTTTTCCAGTGTAGTTAAGCGTTCAATGATCTCGGTTTAAAAAAGGGGCCATAAAATGTTGTCGGGATGCGGAAAACGCGGGGGAAACAATGCAGCGGTTGCTTTAAGACATTTTCCACACCCCCACCCTATTTTCCCCACCCCCCTCCATCAGCTGTGCAGCTAAGCCATATGTGTGTGTGTGGAAATTTTACGAGAGACGCTTTTCTTTCCGCTTTTCGCCAGATCCTTTGTCGGGTTTTCCCTTGCTTTCGCTTCACTTCTGCCTTTATTTTCCTGTGCTGCTCATTTGGATTCACATTTCGTTGTTGTTTTTCCTGTTTTTGTTGTTTACTGCCACCACCCACCGCCCATTACCACGCCCATTGAAATCGTCAGTCGCCTGAAATCGTCGAGATTTA